TTTTTCTTTCTTTTTTTTGTGATACAGGGGATTGAACTCAGGACCTTGTGCTTGCCAGATGGGAGCTTATGCCGCTGAGCTAGCTCCCCAGCCATCTATTGGTTTATTAAAGGGACAGTTAATGCTTAAATGTGTTGACCAGTTTTGCATGTTTATATCTTATATATTCAACCAATTTGAAGACAACAATATGCAATACAACAATCATTGTTGAATTCTTAACATCTTGTTTAGTGAAATTCTGTATTGCTTCTAATTTTTTAAAATTATTTTTAAATCTCTCTCTCTCTCTCTCTTTTTTTTTTTTTTTTTTTTGTGGAACTAGGGATTGAACTCAGGACACTGTGCTTGCCAGGCAAGCACTTATTCTACTGAGCTATCCCCCTAGCCCCTAATTCTCTTAAAAAAAGAATTTGAATGCCAAAACCTGATGTGAGGGTGTTCACTTGTTATCTCAGAGCTTAGGAGGCTGAGGCAAGAGGACTGTAGCAAGTTCAAGGCCAGCCTACCCTACATAGCAAGATTCTGTCTCAAAAAATTTTTTGAATACTTTAAAAATATTTCAGGGCCCAGGAATATAGCTCAGTGGCACAGTACCTGTCTGGCAAGCTTAAGGTCCTGAGTTCAATTCCTAGTACAAAAAAAAAGCAAATAAATGACTATACTGAGTTCAACCCCCGGTACTGCAAAAATAAATAAATAAAAGGGGCCAGAGAAATGGCTCAATAGAATAAGTGCTTGCCTGGCAAGCGCAAGGGCCTGAGTTCAATCCCAGGTTCCACCAAAAATATTAAATAAATAAATAACTATAAAACCCTATTGTGTGTATAATCTACCTATTGTATACCCCAAAATATTTCAAATAGCGCCGGCCAAATAGCTCAGCAGGTTAAAGCCCCTGCAAGCAGGAGCAGGGGCCTGGGGTTCAATCCCCGCCATGCCGGCCCTGCCCCTGGGGCATGCTGAGATAGCAGTTGAGGCTGGATGTGGTGGCGCTCCTGTAATCCCAGCTCCTGGGAGGCTGTAAACAGGCAGATCGCTATGAGTCCAATCTAGTAGTGAGACCCTGAACAGCCTGTAGACCCTTCCTTAAAATACCAAAATAAATAAATAAATAAATAAATAAATCAAATAAACATTTAAGAAATTTTAAAATTTTGCTTATATTTTTAAAGTAATATTTATTACTGTACAACTCTGTGTGTGTGTGTGTGTGTGTGTGTGTGTGTGTGTGTAGTCAGCTGTTTGCTCTTCCATTAAGGAGCCACCCTGATTGCTAGCAGCTTTTAAATTACTTCTGAAGCACCCTTTGTCGGGGTCCTGATCTCCATGACAACATGGGATATCGTGATTTTTATGAAACAGGTTTGCGCTGTAGTTGCCATAGC